TACATAAACCCGATTTTCATTTTAATGAGATACGTAGGCAACCCTTCCATGGTTCGGTATTCTTTATTTAATATATGTTTTTGTTTTATTCTTTTAAAAATATTTATATTTTTGAAATCATTTTTTGATTTGGTTGGTGCCAACAGAGTTAGAGTGTGCATGTAAAAAATCGATACATTGGAGAAAGATTGACTTTTTCTTAAACCACAGATTCTTTTGGTACCTCTAGTTCATATTTTTGTTATACTCTCTTGCATAAATTCAAAATTAGAACAAAACCATATTCATTGTTTCATATGCATTGTGTGGTGAGTTTTTGAATTAAATTCAAATTGTGTTTGCATTGTTGATCTAGAATTTGGCCTGAATGTTTGTGGAGGCGAAATCTTGAGTAATGTTTGATTTGAGAAATAATTGTATGACTTCTTTGACCCGTTTGTTCCTTTAAAAGCCTACCAAATGACATCAATCCTTAGAATGTCCCCACTTTGAGTCATAAGCCTTTTCTTTGGACAACAAAATTTTATCATGTACCCTTTCTAAGTGCTTATACACACTATCTCTCTTTTGGCCCGATTTTCTTGAGCGCAATAAAGACGTGCAAGTTATAAAAGATGATTCAAAGTTCAAATTTGTCAAAGACAAAAGTTGCAAAGTCCCTGAAATTCAGGGGGAAATGACTTCAAAAGAAAGACGAAAGAGTTGAAATTTCCCACAAGTTCGAGAAAGCATAATTGCAACAAAAGACAAAGAAAACTCCAAACAAATAGGAGAAACCTCAAAAGATGAAGAGAAGGGGAAAAAACTTAGACAAGCAAATCTTCAAAATAAGTCAAAAATTTCAAAAAGAAGGGACAAAAAAGAAGATCAAGCGCTAAAAGCATTACAAACGTTGAAAGAACAAATTTAGTGCAATGCTCAAGAAGGGATTAAGTCACTTTTTTCCAAAATAAATATCCTACCAGTCCCTAAGCCTACATTACAAGTCAATAATAAGCCCTACATGATTTCATTTCAAATGTTCTCACATTAGTGGAGATTTACATGAAGGTCAAGCATATGGTAACACAATTGCATGTGTTGAACATTATTTTGAGTGTGAGTGTATTTCACAAAATGTCCTCAAATCAAAATACTCTAAATGTGTGCAGTTTAAGACTTTCTTTGTGGTGAGGGCACTTGAAACATTATGTTAGGTCTAGTTCAAATCTTTTGTTTTTAGCAAGATGAACAAATCTTGTTGTTACTTAAGTACATTTGAGGTACCATTTGATGTGATAGGAGGTACCTTGAAGTCAATCTCAGTTGACTGACAAAATATTGTGAGAATTTTTCATGCAATACTATTGTTGGCATTAACAAAGTTAAAATATATTTCATTGTCCAGAAAATAAAAATGTATTGACATCCACCTTTTAATACTTATCAAACCAACATTGTGGACCGTTTCATTGTTGATACTTGTCCAAACCTCTTTGTGGAGCATTTCATTATAGAAATTGTATTTTTGGGTCGTTATACCCCTCAAAATAATTTCTTTATAAATTTAGGTCGTCATATATACCTTTCAAAATAACATCTTTTAAAAATTTATTTGTTATCTCAAATAAAATGATGTTTTTTAAAATTGGTTTGTTATGCCATTCAAAATGATACTTTTTTATTTATTATTCCATGCAAATTGGCATTTTTTTTATATGCTCGTGATGTTATTATGATCAATATGTTGCACCAACTAATAAACTTGTTCATTGTTTCATTGTTCATATGAGGTCATGTTTGCATAAGTCATGTTGCATTTATGTTACAGTTGCTACCAATAATTGTTTTGCAGATTTTGTAGTACATCATTTGTTAAGTTCAAGATTGGGTTGTCCACCTTTAAAGAGACACGTTGGGTTGTCACCTCCCTGAGACACGTTGGGTTGCCACATCCCTCTAAGTGGCATGTTAAGTTCAAATTGGGTTGTCCACAATTAAAGAGACATGTTGGGTTGCCACCTCATTCAAAGTGACATGTTATATTCAAGTTGGGTCGTCCGCCTTTAAACAAACACATTGGGTCATCACATCCTTCAAGTGACATATTAAGTTCAAGATTGGGTTGTCCACCTTTAAAGAGACACGTTGGGTTGTCACCTCCCTGAGACACGTTGGGTTGCCACCTCATTCAAAGTGACATGTTATATTCAAGTTGGGTCGTCCGCCTTTAAACAAACACATTGGGTCATCACATCCTTCAAGTGACATATTAAGTTCAAGATTGGGTTCTCATCTCCCTTCAAGAGACATGCTAAATTCAAATTGGGTCGTCCACCTTTCAAGAAACACATTATGTTGTCACCTCCCTCTAAGTGACATGTTAAGTTCAAGATTGGGTCGTCCGCATTTAAAGAGACACGTTGGGTTGTCACATCTCTCTAAGTGGAACGTTAAGTTAAAGATTCGATCGTCCACCTTTAAAGAGACAAGTATGGTTGTCACATCACTTTAAGTGGTATGTTAAGTTCAAGATTGGATCGTCCGCCATTAAAGAGACATGTTGGGTTGTCACCTCCCTCTAAGTGGCATGTTGAGTTCAATATTGGGTCGTCCGTCTTTAAAGAGACATGCTGGATTTTCACATCCCTCTAAGTGACACATTAAGTTAAAGATTGGGGCATCCGCCTTTAAAGAGACATGTATGGTTGTCACATCCCTCTAAGTGGCATTTTAAGTTCAAGATTGGATTGTCCGCCTTTAAAGAGACATGTTGGGTCGTCCGCCTTTAAAGAGACATGTTAGGTTGTCACCTCCCTCTAAGTGTCATGTTAAGTTCAATACTGGGTCGTCCATCTTTAAAGAGGCGCATTGGGTTATCACATTTCTCTAAGTGGTTTGTTAAGTTCAAGATTAGGTTGTCCACCTTTAAAGAGACACGTTGGGTTGTCACCTCATTAAAAGTGACATGTTCAAGTTGGGTCATCCACCTTTAAAAAGATATGTAGGGATGTCATCTCGTTCAAAGTAACATGTTAAGTTCAAGTTGGGTTGTCTACCTTTAAAGAGACATGTTAGGTTGTCACCTCCCTCTAAGTGACATGTTAAGTTCAATTTGGGTAGTCCACCTTTAAAGAACATGTTGGGTTATCACCTCCCTCTAAGTGACACGTTAAGTTCAAGTTGGTGCATCTGCATTTCAAGAGACAAGTTAAATGGTCACCTCATTTAAAGTGACATGTTATTCACATTTTCTTCCATTCAAAGAGGTACACTACCTTCACTGTTCAATTTTGGAAGTAACATCAAAGGTATGTGAATGCTTTCTGTTTTCGATCAATATTTCTCTTTTGTTCATTATTTTAGCCCCGTTGACGAACGTAGAGTATTGTTCAAAAGCTCTACTAATGTCTCATATTGTTTTGTTCAAAGTTTATCAAACCAAATTTGGGTTTTTCAACTTTGTTCGACCAAGATGTCTTTCATCGATCATAATCAAACAAAGGGGCAAGTTGTAGACACCAAATTTTGGTCTGATATTTTTAAAATTAAAACTTTTAAGTATTTCATTCGTTAAATAGTTCACAATACATGTTTTGAAATTTTAATATATTTTGTTGATAATTATCCTTATTTCTCAAAATATTAAGATTTTTATCGGTTAATTTTGTTTACATTATTTTTGTCACAATCGGTTGAATATGTTGTGAATATTGTGTCTGTTGATTAAATCATTATTTTCTATTAAAATGCAACTTCTTACATGTGATTCATTTTATTCGTTACATTTGTTAATATTCATTTTATTTGTTACATTTGTTAATATTCGTTTTTGTTTGTTATTTTTATTAATATTCATTTTGATGTTTATAGCACAGTCAAGAAATGCAGCAAAATACAGATAAGATTTGCATACACAAATATTTTATCAACTAGTGGTTTTGGCCCATGGTTTTAAGGTAATGATATTGTACTACAGTGGTTTTCCATTTTCTATTTAAGCAATTGATTAGTCATTAAGTTAGGAAGTGGTGGATAAAATTTTAGAAAATGGGGTTCAATTTTCAGTTTTTTTTCCTATTGTTCATTCTCTTTCTCCGACGATAAATTGGGTGGAGCTCTGACCAATTACCACCAAACAAACCCCACTAGTCAAACTTCCTCCTCCTCACTTCCTTTTCTAACTGCCTCCACCCCAAAATTCGGTGAAGCTCCGGCAAAACAAATACCCATAGTTCTCTTTCTCTATTAACCTTCTTCTATTTCACGTTGTTAGCAGCATCCAGATAAACCCCGTTAACTCTTTTCCTACAACAGCTTCCTGGAGCCCACCAGTAGTTCTCCAACTAAAACCCCATCCCATTTTCCCCTTTGTTTGCAATCAGTGACTCCAATGAACCGAATCAAAATTAAAAAAATTGTCAGTCAGTTCCCTTCCTCTTTCCCTTCCCCGTTTCGATTTTGTTCGTTTTTCAAGTATAGCTCCAAATCCAGTTAACTCGAAGTCACCGACCCCATTGCTACAAACAACAAGTTCAAACATCTCCCTCAAACTCATTCATCGGAGGAAGACACACTACAACAAAACGCCTAAATTGCGGGGGTTAAAATTACATGTTCTGACGGTCAGTAACCCCCACAATTTAGTGTTGCGGCAGTTGAGAGAACTCCTGCAATTAGGTGCGTCACAATTAAGTCCGGGGAGTTTTGGACGAACCCCTGCTACCATTAGCGGGGGCTTATTACTGGGGGTTTTAAACCCACAAACATATATCTATAAAACTGCACTTCAATATCTAGGAGTCAAAACCCCAGCAATTTGTGAACTTTGGGAGTCAAAACCCCCACAAATCATGAATTTTACATTAAGATTAACAGGAGTTCTAACCCCTGTAATTTATGAACATGTAACCTTCTAGAGCATTATGCTAAAAAATTATATTTAAATATTAATGACTAATTAACATGTACATCATAGTCAAACCTAAAAAGGCTTATTAGTATTAAGAAATAACAAAATATTTCAACAAAAAAATATATCATAAAGTGTAGTATTAGTTTTACAAACTAAATTGAAACATATCATTCACTTCAACCATTACGATTACAAGAAACTTTAAATCACTACAAAAACTGTCATTCGCTAATCTTGCTTTTATTGATGAAAAGGGTTCACTAGCATCCATACTCAAGAAATGACCTGCAACTATTCATGGAACTTCAACGATTGTCACTACGACTACTATCACTGGCATCACCTGTCTGCAAAGGAAAATACACAATAAGTGATATGATAAATGCTCTCACCAAAATACACAATCAGTGACATATAAATGCTCTCACCCTTTCTTTGTAACCTCTTTTGAATGCAATAAAATGATTAGGACTGAAACGTAATCCAACCATTATGGTGATTTATAAAAAAAATACTTGCATATTGTATGTCAACAACAATATGCAAACAAATACTAAATTCTCTACTATGAGTGTCAATACAAATGCTAGTCATAAACAAATAGGTCAATACTAACATACAAGAATATGCAAAAATATGTTCTGGACCTTGCTACTTCTTTATTGCACATAATAGTAAAAGAATCACAAGTTTTTATCTTGCTCTTGTGTTAATCCAGACCAAACAACACTCCACAAAGTTCTATAGATAAATACTCATATTTCCACATTCTTTTTTCCTAATCCAGACCAAACAACACTCCACATTCTAAGCTCCAGAAGCAATCCTGGAAATTTTTAGTGAACTTGACCTTCTTCAATTTTAACCACATTTTCTTTCTCATTTTATAACTTACATTCTCTACTATGAAAGGCAATGCCAATCATAAACAAATAGGCCAATACTAACAGAATATGCAAAAATATGTTCTAGACCATGAGTACTGCCTTGCCCATAAAACTTTTCCAGAAATAAAGAAGCTAATCTCAGTAGATATGTCACTAGAAAACACAGTTGATCTAGAAAATGGCTGCAACTAAACTAACGTACCTGATATATAAATAATGTCATTTAGGAAGAGAGAATGTAAATATTATATGTACCATTGTAGGAGGAGGAGCAAATAACCCCACAAATTGTTCTGGTAATGTCCCTTCTTTCATTATCATATATGACTTGAAAGCAGCCATCATTTGATTGTGAGAATTCAACAATTTATTGTAATTCTGTTGGCAATTGGATGGACACGAAACACTCGAAGCATTCATACCACTGAATCGAGGTCTTGCTTGTTTAAAAACTCTAGTGGGAGCAACTCCTAATCACAAACACCTTACCCTTCCAGAGTGCTCTTTTCCTAGCAGTTTGCCAACTGCACCATCTGGCGATATTATAGACTCATCCATAGTGCTTTGACTCAAAGTTTGCTGATTTTTTTCCTGAGTATAGTACACACACAGAACACATTATCGAAATGTTAAAAACTAATTGAGAACAGAGATATATTACCTAAATATAAGCAAAGTGCATTCACATATTCCTGAGTTAGGTATTCACATACTTCTGAGTTTGGCATTCACATAATAGATTTTCCTGGGTTAGCCATTCACATATTTAAGCAAAGTACATGCACATATTCAATCAAAGTGAGAGATTAGTAGTTAGGCATAATTTTAAACCATTTACTCAAGTAGGGATTTTAAACCATTTCAAAATGACAGCACGCTATACTAAACAAGGCACCATCAAACTGATTTGACCAATAGCAATGACGAAAACATTAACAGAGAATCTCAGGTTTAAAATAAATGAGAGACTAAACATAAACTGCTTGGCTTAACTTGTTAGTAGAAAAGGGACAGACTTGAAATAACCAAGGAAATGGAGTGCTATTATTTCCCCCTTAAGAAACTTACACAGACAACTTTTGTCGCTTCATTAACATACGCTTCATTTACATTCTTATGAGTAGCAAGATAAAGTTCTACTCGTCCAGGCACTTGACCGGTCTCAGCCATCTATAAGCAAAAGAATCAACTCAGAATAACTTAACTAATTAAAAATAATTACAGTTAGCTTAATAACTAAAATAAAATGAAATGAACTAAAATCTTTAACCATTTCAGCCCTTCTTCTAGAGTTAGCTTTGGATCCACTTGTGTGTGGAATGATTTGTTTCTTTCAACTTTCAGCATTTCTATTGCACATTTCCTCACAAAAAAGATACACAAAATTCAATCATTAAAAAGTAATTATATGACTACACATACTAGTTGAAATAATTAAATATATATACTTGTGTTTCTTTTTTATAACGATAATTAACATAAGAAGTCCATTGATCTCTTGGAATTCCAAGTGGAACATTATCCATGATCTGAGTTTTGCTCGGATCACTGAACACTTCCCATATGTCCAACCTATTTGCACTCCATTTCTTTGAAATACAATTATAAACATATCGTCGTGCAACTAAGTCGATTGTCTCGAAAAAAATCGGGGCTTCAAGATTATACACTAGTTAGCTTATCTATGAAATCCAAATATAAAGGTCCAAGAAAAGAATATAGGTATAGTAGTCAGAATATATAATTTATACCACTATGATTTGATCAAAGACGCGATCAAAGTATGACATAGGCATATTCGGCCATTTGTCAAAATGTATTGGAAATAAGGAGGAATCAGCAGCTAAAATTCCACAAAAACCAGAAAGAAGGGGTTGTGCTTCTCCAAATGGAAAATCCAGGGAATCAAAATTGACCACAATACGATCTTCTCCAGGTAAATTTAGCACTTCTTTGACTTTCACTTTGAGTTTCTTTTTGTTTCCTTCTGAATCTGGAATAGAGAAAAAGAAATGAAATGACAACAAAGCCAGTTGGTAGCCTTCAATATACTTACAAAGATCCTGTTCAAGGAAGCCACTTTGTATCATGAAATTCTTAACAAATATATTATTTCTAAATTTAAAGCTAAGTGTCAACACTAGATGGACACAAATCGATCTTGCAAGAAAATCAATTTTGTCATCAATAGGATCAACTAGTGTTGGTACTTATGCTAAATAAACACATTATCACCTAATTTAAAGCTAAGTGCCAACCCTCGATGGACACAAACAAATTATCACAAAATTAAAGCTAAGTATCAATACTAGATGGACACAAACACATTATATAAAACAATTGTACTTGAACTTTAGAAATTTATAAGCACCAAACCTTATCTCCTACTTTGATGAAAGACGCATAATAGTCTTGTATCAACTTTTTTAGATGTTGAGCTTCCTAAGTTGCCTAGCACGAAAAAAAAATTAAAATTTCTTCATTAATCAATAATTCTACGGGAATTTTTGGAGGCGGTGTATCCTGAGTAGCCTCTCTGCTTTCAGAATTTTGCAACACGGTTGTTTCCCCATGCATAACCCAAATGACATAATTTTGAGGAAATGGCTTGCAAATCAAATGATCAAACACTACAGCTCTAGTCTGCCATTTTCCAAAACAACATTGAGGACACGGGCATTTTATTCTATCTTCTATAGCTCCATTTTTAAATGCAAATTCTAGGAACTGATTCAAGCCAACCAATATTCTTTTGTGGTCCTTGGCATTCTAATCCAAGATTTATCCATCGAAAAAAACAAGATTAGCAGACAATATCACCTATAAGATTGACATGAGAAAATTATAAGAGTAGAGACATATTTAACAATTTATGTACCAGTATATGCAGAAATGGAATATATGCAGAAGAGGGTAAGTAATAGCACAATCTTTCATCTAGTTAGTTTCCATTTCAAGCTGATCGATCTATTTTCGGTCATAATGTTCTCTATTTTCATGCCAAAACTATAACATAATGGACATAGCAGGAAGTTGATTTACACAAGAACATTCACTATTGTCGTTGACTTTAAGCATAAGCATCAGATGAACTTGAGGCCTTAACTATTTCCTTAGAGGCCTAACCACTGAGAAATTATAGTGATCTAAGCAGATGAAAGAGTACCTCAACTTTCTTTATCCCTGAAGATCTAGAAGCTCTCCCGTTAATTCCAGTTCCAAATATTGGAGAGGGGTCGGACCTGATAAATTAAACAAAGAAACATTTTCTATAAGATTATACATTTGTTTATATAAAACAATACAGGAACAATTGAGGACACACTTTGGTCCAAAATGGGATGTTTTTGTACAGAGGAGGTCTGTTTATGACCCTTTAGCTATGCTTACTCCTGGCCAGAATTACACATATGGTAAGGGCAAAACAAATCTGAGACACTGGCTATCCTAGAAGCTATCAAGCATTGTAATAACAAACATTTGGATCATATCATGATCCAGCCATATTCAATATTTTTACAAAGAGTACTTGTGGATAAATGCAAACTACCTTGGAATATAGTCAATTGGATTGAAGAGATACAACAAATAAGCAAAGACATGTAGCCAAATAAGCAAAGACATGCAGATTTAGAAGAATGATAAACTAGTGATTTAGAAGAAAAAAAAATGAAGATACAAATCAATAAGTATAAAGAGATAAGTGAAGATTGAGGGCACATGTAACAGCTAAAGAAGAATTAATTAACAAACAAAAGGGGAAACTATATACACCTTACTCCAGCATAAACAAGGATCAACAGAGACGACAACTCCAAATTTTACGAAGAAACAAGGCACCTCTTAGCGACAATTTTTCGAGGGTGCGGAATTCATCAGTGCGGAATTGCTTTATTAAATTTTATTTGACCTTTTGGTAGTGTAGTAGATGAGAAATTCATGACATTTGTGGTAGGTGGTAGTGTGGTAGGTGAGGAATTCATCTTAAAGATTTTATTATAATATTCTTTTTTCATGGTAAAATGTAATTATACTTATCGTAATATTCTTTAATATTATTTTTTGGTAGTGTTAAATTCATGGTAATATGTAGTAATATTTATTGTAATATTCTTCCGATAGTTGTTTTAGTCTGAATATTTCTTTAATATTATTTATGATATATTCTAGATATAACATATCTTGGGTTCTTTGGTACATATATAAATTTTTCTCCATTAATTGTTCTAATAGTTTTATATCTTCCATAGATTCTGTCCAATATTGTAAATATTCGTAATTCATTTTAATCTGAATTTATTTCTAAATCATATCATTCTATTCTTTCGGAGTCTAGATCATGTAGGTCTATTTCATACCATTTTTGGTTTAATATATCTTCTGATTCGTTATTATTAAATATTTTTTCCCATATTATTCTTCTTAATTCAATTATTTCTATATTTTTAAGTATATATAAGATTAAAGTTTCATAGTTTTTTATCATTTCGTCATGCATATATGTAGTCATGTTCTTTACTATGCGGGTTTTTTATTTCAAATTATTCCTTCCTATCATATTCATAATTGATTAAATTCATATTAGATTATTTGTTTATCATGTTCTCCTGTCACTACTAGCATCATACTTTCCTCACCTACTGATTTCAACATTAGGATAGCATAGTATAGAAGTTTTCTCCCTGTTTCCAGTGTGCTAATAAACTAGAAATCATGATTCAAATAATTCTAATACATAATAACTAACATAAATTTATTCAATCATATATATGATATTTAGGAATATATGAAATTAGTTCTGCATATTTATTCAACAATGTACCTTTGCATCTTGTTTATCCATGATATCTGAGGGTTGCTCTATTATCTATTAAGTATTTTAAATATTTGAGAGAGTATTTTTTATGAAACTGCTTCGTTTATTCAAAGTGTGTCCTTTATGTTACATCTTCCTTCCTTTATATAGAAAGGACATCCTATCTACTGCACTTACAAATTCTATCTTATCTTTACATTAATGTACAATAATGCACTACTTCATGACTTTCTTACATAATACTATTTACTTTATGATTTTTTTACACTACTTTGTGACTTTTTTACACTACCACACCTACCCTCTTTACACTTGTCCCTACACACCACACCTACTACTTTTAATATGCATCCTACATTGTTGACTAATTTACACTACACTTTCTTACAATAAGACTAATAATTTACAATAATAGTACTATTCACTATTTGCTTTTGGCTTTTTTGGCCAAATATATCTTCTTTGCCTTATCTCTTTAGTTGTCTTTATCTTCTTTGTCCCTATCTTCTTTGTCTTGACTTTATTCTAACTGGACATCGGGAATCACGTTGTCTTCTCCATTACATTTTGAACATAGATGATCAGGGTATTTGTGTCCAATTAGCTTGCAATATCTGGTTAATAGTTCTGGCGAAATAAATCCTGCTTTGAGTGCTCTTGTCGTAGGTCTTTCTTCTGGTTTTAATAATGATAAAATCCATCACTGGACTTCATCCATATCTACTTTTGTTAGTTCTCTTGAATTTGAATATATCATTAACTGGTCTCTAGAGTAGTAACTCCATATAGCATTTCCGTTCAAATAATTATTTTCTAACTCTTGTACAATAGTTGATATACCAATTATTCTTTTATTGGCATAAAAACTTGGTATCTCTATTTTTTAGTATTTCTTTCTTGTTGTCCGATATCATCAGGTATAATCATATATTTGGTTAATCCTATCTTAATAACTTGAATTGGAGGTTTTATCTCCTCGTATAATATCTCCGTTGGTGCTGTATAAAACTTTATATAAAATAAATTTTCTTTGGTAACTCTTTTATATGTGACTAATGCTTTGTGTAATTCTGGTATTCCACTTATCTCTTCTCCATCGTATGTATATATGATATTTAATAGTCCATAATTGTAACATGTTCTTACTAAATTGGCATTAGTTTTTGGTTGTTCAATTAACTTTATAACCTTGTAATTTTTGGGTTAGGTAGTCTTGATTTGGTTTTTTGGTTGTAGTGGATCTAGGATTACGGTTTAAATAGGTTTGGATTTTGTATATATTTTCAATATAGGTTCTCGTAACATGGTTATATAATTTTTTCTCGTTTTGTAGTCTATCTGCATAGGTTGAGGTTTGGGGTTCCATAGCCAATGTGTTTTTTGGTGTTCTCGGAGTAAATGGTTTTTCAAATAGCTAGTTTAAGTTTGTATTCTTATGTTGTTTTTCACTAACTTGTTTGCTCGTACCTACAGCTGTATTTAAACAAACATTATGGGTTTTAAGGTATTTCCCAAAGTTACCTTTTAGATCTGGATTTTTAAAGTCTTCTGATCGACTTAGCTCCTCATTTTTATAGTCATACTGCTGACTTCGTATTTGTTGTAGCTCTTTGTCAATATTTTCTACTTTTGTGCAAAGTAGGTTCATAGCTTTGAGTATTTCTTCTATAGTATTTTCTTTTTCAGTCTGTGTAGCTTTGTCTTGATAAGTAATCTGCAATAACATTCTTGTCAGTTTTTATCACTTCAATAGTAAATGTAAAATTTAATATATTTAATACCAATCTTCTCATTTCTTTCGTAGTTACCGAATCTTGTATTTTTCTTGTTAGCCACCATTTTACTTGTGTATTATCGGTCCTTATAATAAATTTGTTATATACAATATATGGTTCAAATGATAGTAAACATTTATATACTGAATATAATTCTTTCCTATTTATTTCCCATCTTATTTATGTATTAAATAAATATTCCTGAATAATATCTACAATGATGTTCTATTTTTTCTTTATCATACCTATATTTTAAGACTCCTCCATAACTTTTTTCACTGACATCTGATTCTACTATATAATTAATTTTTTGTTTTCATCCGGAAAATATAGTTTAGGTAGGTTCTTACATAATAGTTTTATTTTTTGTATTTGTGTTTGGTCTTTTTTATCAAACTGGTATTCTA